TGCTCTTCCGATCTCCCCAAAACCCCAAAACCCCAAAACCCCATAATGCCAGTTAAATTGATAATGAGATTCAGGAATTTTTTAGTATATAAACATTTGTAAACACTGAATAACAGCTCGCGTCTTTATTATTACAATATAGCTTAGTCAATAATCCATATATGAACTAAAATCTTAAACCATAATTGGCTAGAGTTTACGAGATTATATCAAGATCTGAGAAATAGTCTTAGTTTATTCTAAACTATCAGTCATATCTTCAGTAATCATAGGATTGCAATTAAAATCTTTACTTTAGGGAATCTTAATTCTTTCTAGCACTACTGATCCATGATGAATCCCCTCATAAAAATGAAGATCTCTGTTCTAATTTCTCTTCAAATTCTATTAATCCCTCTATAGCTTATTTATTTCAAATCTTCTAAATGCAACTTTATTTGGATTTTAAGCTCTGTTATTGATTCTTTTACTCTCAATTTCAATCAATGTTTCATCTTAATAGTCTTTGATAATGCTTGCAATTTGATTATCAACTTTAATTATTTCGAGATCTTTATTTGAACCAAATTTATTTGTTGAAAAAGAATGATTTTGAGGTAGTTAAGTCAAGCTTGCATAAGCGTAATCATTACTAAGGCTTTTGTATTAATTTTTACTTCCTAGATTTTAAGGATTTGATAATTTTCTCTTAGCTGAAATCGATCTGTTGGAGTTTTCCTTATTGACTGAAAATTTAGAGAGAACACTTTCTGAGCCCTTAGGTTATTGAATTAAAATGACTTTATTTCTGAATTAAACCTATACTCTTTTAACACTTTTGGATCTGTTTTCAATACTATTTCTTCTCTAAACTCCTGAGTTGCTTTATTATTGCTCTAGATTTGGATTTGTGTAGAGAGTGTTCTGCACCTATCTTTGTATCTAGTTATAAGTTAGGAGAGGATTGTTTAAAATTTGCTTATCTATGCAGTCAGTCTAGTTTTCATTCTGTGTTGAAGTAGCACTGTCACACATTGATAGATTCATTGCTCTATTCTTTCTTCTAATAACGACATTAGTGAGGGTATTTCCAGATATTTGTCCATTACGAGTATTCTTGCTGACTATTTTAGGTAAAGAGAGGTCCATCAAATGGAGCGAGGCTTGATATGATTCTTCTGGCTATTACATGCTTAGTCTCTCCTATACATGTTAATTTGTTAATACACTGCTGGTTCAGTTTATGGTGGGTTAAGACACTTTTTCTCTATTGGTCTTACTATATCTTGTTTGAATAGGCTATTAATGAGTAATCGGTTATTATTCAATGTTAAATTGGAATAATTGGGTGTTTTAAAGCCTCTAGCTGTGGTTGCTGTTATTCACAAGATTGTTTGATTTTGGAATATTATAGTTTGAGGATAAGGCCATTTTAATTAAATAAATCTTTAATTTTTGGGAGATAAACTTGCTACTTGCTCAATAACTTTATTTAAATTTAAAATTGGATCTCATTCACATCAATTTAATTAAAAAAGAAAAATTCATTAAAAAGATAATTTCTCAACTTAAACGTAAATCTATCTCATGGGGTTTTGGGGTTTTGGGGTTTTGGGG